GGGCCTTTTGAAATGTACTGGACTTCAAAAGAATAGGCAAGCCTGCGCAAAAAGACAAAAAGGAAGAGTGAATGCAGATAAATGCTTGTAATAAAATGGCTCACTCTGCAATAAAATGTTGAAGGGGCTTGGTTTTTTGTGCCACTCCTAAGAGAACACAGAACTTCATTTCACTAGGTGTGCACACCAGGTCAGGAGCTGACAATAGGATAGTTTCTAAGAACCCTACTTCATTTCCCTATGGCTGAATTCACACATAATGCCAAGCAATGCCACGTGGTTACTGCACAGGTTACTATCTCACCTTGTGTCCTGGGTTCCCATATTTATGTGGTTTCTATGTGTGCATGATTCCCATGCTTTGCCATCTTCTCTCCAAATGGCAGCAGGTATCCCATCGCCTCCCATGGCTCAGAATCAGTCCTAGGGCTGCACTGCTTCTACCTGCATCGCTTGCCTCTCCCTCATTGACTTATGGAAAAGAAGTCTGCATGCCACACACATTGTTTTTGAAACAATACGTTGTGAAAACATTTTATAATGGCACTGCAGTTCAACGGGGAGTGGAATCGAAATCCTCACTGGGAGTGACCTCATCCCTAATGTGCCTACAGTAGCTTTTTAGATCCTAATCTGTATCCCACCCTGTATCACAGCTTAAAAGAAATTTCTATGATACTTGTAAAAGTGTCCAGTGTATATTTCTCATTGAGTATGAATCACTCTGCCGACCACCAGGTGTCCTTGCTCCCTTAATAGTGCATATAACAGAATGGTTTGTTACTGAAGAAAAATGTTGCACTTTTGCAGAAACAACTGGCAGGTGGTAATATTCACAATCTTCACAGGGCCAATTTGTCAACTAAAAGCCTAGTATTTTGTATAACATTTTTAAACTACCTGTGTAGACACTGTATAAGAATCTTGTGCTTCTAAATATTGTTGAAAGAAAGGTCAACATCCAAAGCAAGTTAATTATGCAAACATCCCATTGAAATTAATGACTTGTTTATTTTATTTTTAATCCATGCAACAACAGAAGTGGATTTGCTTTTGCCATAAATCCTAGGGCAGATGGAAGAATTCTTTGAGTTCCAAGTCTGCACCTTGTCACCTTGCAAGACAACTCTATTCCTCAAAGTGGTGTACTATCAAAGAAACTATAAGTGTTTATGGGGGTTGAAATTGCTCACTCACCCCTGTGTAAGAGAGTATGTTCTTCAGGAATGTAAATTTCCAGCATGAATGCAAGTCTGCTGGAATAAGTTCATTGCTATTCAGGACTTCAAATCAGTATGGCATGAAGTGCATTTTAAATAGTGACCAAGTGGCTAAAGAGCTAGCAAAGAGCTGGGAAATAGAGCAGTTCTGTAAATCTTTAATTGAAGACCCTGGAGCTAATTCTGTAGTTCTTTATGATTCATTCCTGTATGTGATTCCTCTCTTTTAAAGCTCAGAATTTGGGAATCTTGTTAATTTATGTGAACTGCAGCCTGAAAAATATTGCCTGTCTCCCTTCCCTTTTGGCAGGAAGCACTGGCTTGTGGCCATGCCAGAACTGGTCTCCCGAACGTTTGTTTCAGTCTCATGTGAGAATGACTTTTGCATTCTGACTCATTCTGTTGGCAGTCTCGATGCTGTAATTTAAGTCTGCAATACAAGATGTGAGCAGTGGTAAAGCACTTACATAAGTATTTCACACGTGGCCCTGTTTCAGTGTACTTAGGAATTTGTGTGCAGTGCTAGCATGCCAGTTGTTCAACTGCTTAACCCATTGATGGCTGGCATGCAAACATGACACATTCATGCATCAGTGCACACTGGAAATGTATTTACCCTGCAGCTGCCATACATGAAATGTTTCCAACAAGGTAGCCATCCAGGTATTGTTCAATACAACTTCCATTATCCCTGCATTCTGTATGGTGTTGTGTTAATTTTAACTGATTTAACTGTTTTTATTACTATGTATAAATGTTTTAGAAATATTAAGTATTTTATTAGTATTTTAATGTATAATTGTTTTGTGAATGACTTAAGGTTGAATATGTTCAGCAGTGCATAAATCTATACACATTGTGTGTGTGTGTGATCATCTTCCCTGACCATGATCCATGCTGGCTGGGACTTTTGGAACTGGAGTCAGATTCCCAAAAGGACCTTTACCCCTGTGTTATGTAGATCCTTACCTGCAACCTCTATATAAGGCAATATTCACAAAAGGCAACACCCACCCCATGTTTTCCTAGGAAAAAAGCATTCCTCCCTGATTCTAATAATATATATGGAGGGACTTTCCAATGAATCATCACTAGTTACTGCTGAGTGATAGGCGCAGCTCTGCTTGTTTCCAGACACCAGAGGTTGATAAAGACTATCTACCCCTTGGTGACCTGTGACTTGGATCTGTTTTGTTTGTCTTCTCTTCCTCTCTTCCAATTTATGTAGAAGGACTAATAAAAATGACTTGATTTGGAACTTCAAACTGTCTCTAACCTGCATTAATTTCCTTAAAGCCAAACACTATGCTACTTTGTCTTCTTTGTATAGACTTCCCAACTAGGAGTGTTCTGATCTCCTGAAAGCTCAGGGTACAGAATGGATAACTGAAAACTCTGCTTGCTCAGGATCATCATGGACCTGGGAAGAGAAGGGTAGAAGAGGTCATGGACACTTGTAACATGGACCCAAGTGTGCAGCTGAACAGAAGAAAAGGACTGCTGTTGTGACACAAGCTGACACATGTCCTTTAAGTATTCTATCACTTTTTCCTTCAGTTAATTGCTACTCATTAGATTCCCTTTTTCTTAGTTCAAGTGGATAAATGAATGAGAAAACTGTTTCAACATTACTGAATGGTAGAACTTCTAGCTTTACTGTCTTCCTATTAAATGAGATGTTTGCAAACCACACCTGAAAAGTAAACAACTTTTACCGTGCCCTGACTGCCATCATAGAAATGCTTCTGTCATGAAAACATGAAAATCACATTTGCATTAGGCATGCACAAAAAGAAGCTGTAGGAAAATAGGGTCAAATGAGACATTATGATGAACACACTTCCAAAAAAGGTACTTCAGAGAACTATCCCATGGCTGCTATACTTTGTGTTGGGGTGGGGGTGAAGGAGGCAGGATACCTTGGAATCTCAGCTCCAAGGTGGGAGACAGTGCAGTAACCACAAAACTGGGAATCAGAGATTTGCTCCCTTGTCTGCTTGCCCCTCAGCTGCTCTCCAAGGTCAGAAAAACAATTTTGGGAAGGAGAGAAAGGGGATGGCTTTGGATGAAGAAATGGGAAGGTATTCAGAAATTGCTCCAAATCTCCTTCCCTCCTCTTAAACACCATTGCTGGATAGCAAAAAACAATCATCCAGGAAAAATGTAGAGTGGAAGGACCAGGGAGGCAAAGATTGCCTCTGCCACTACTGCCTTTCCACATTAGATGTCCATAAACTGGATTGTGCCCCAGTTGCTAACTTTTTTAAAGAAAAGATACCATGTTCTCTGGTTGGCAGTGGTACTTCTCAGACTTGATCCTGGGGCTGAAGGATCCCCCAAATTGTCAGCCAGAGAGTGGCGAAAGCAAACTGTACTCTGTTTTTTGCAGTACTGATGGCACTATGATTTAAGGAAGTCTAAAATGCAAAATAGCACATGCATTGTTATTTAAATCAAAGCTGGTGAACACACTTGTTTTTCTGATGCATTCGGAATGTAGGAGCAGTTGTAATGCCTGGAATGATTGGGGAGTGGGTGAAAAGGGGAGGAGAAATGTGCTCCATAGCTGAACCAGCACCCCTGGCCATGTAAAGTGGAGCTCCAGAAGACCATTCCGTCCAGGTTCTAAACTGTTGCTAGCTGGAAGTTGATCCTGATTCTGATCGTGTCCCTGAATGTTCTTCCTGCCCAGATCGCCATCACTGCTTCTATCCTCAAAAATGCTGTTATTTTTCAGGGCAAATGACTAAGTGCTGTGCCTAGAGTGGAACTTTCTTGCATGGGAATGCATGTGACCCAACACTGAACACACAAATCACTGAAAGTAGAATGATCATAATCACTAGTTTCAGTGGGGACAATTCACACATTGATGTGATGCACATCCTTGTGAATGAACCAGACATTTCTACTGACATAAGTCTCATCTTAATCCATCAGTTTTATAGAATAACAATAGTGCAACTCCCCTAAATTATGTTTTGCCAAGCTGTAAATCCCATCCACCTGCATTTGTATTTTGTACACTACTGGATGTAATGGAGACTCCGGCCTGTATCCTGAGTCCATTCCACTGGAGAATCCAGCAGAGTTTTACTCACAGGAAGCTCCTACTGCCTAAACACAGGAAGGCAACTTGTGCTCATTATGCCCCATCAAGTCTCTGAAATAGTGGAAGGAGGATATAAACGTAAGAGGAAATTTACAACAATTGCCTTTCTCACCCCTATTCCACCAGCAGTACCCCATGCTGTACCTGAAGCCTGCAGTGAATGGAAGGGGCCCTTCTGTTTGCAGCAGGCAACACTCAGTATTCATGCCTTTAAGCAGTGACTAGCATATGCAAGTGTGCAGAAAATAGAAGCTATTTTTCTGTTTTCAATTTATAATAATCTAGAAATATAGTATAATATGTTGTACCATCTGTAGGTAATGATTTATAGGTTAGGGGTCTAGATGCAGCAACTTGAAATAAAATGCTTGTACTATGTTCATCTATGCGTTTATCAGTAACCACAGGAACGAGCAAGAACCTAACACTGTACAAAACACCAGAGAAGTCCATCACAGTAGAAGCTAACTCCTCAGGCTACTTTTCCAAGTTTGCTCTGAGAACTATGAAGCCTCCAGGATTATACATAAAAAGCTCTGATGCACAGAATATGTCTGAAATTACATTAAAGCAATTTGAGAATGAACTTTATTGCACTGAGAGGGCCACTACCCTGATGTTTCCAACTCTGTCTTCTTCATTCAATAGTGTGGAAGAACGAGTCTTGATTATCTTGTTTGCATTGCACTGAGGTTTCCTATATTTTCCATCCATTCTGTCTGGTTAAGGTATTGTAAAATCATGTCATTTAATTTCTTAAGGTCTTCAATGCTCTTCCTCTCCAGTACTACCATTCTTGAAACTTCAGCCATCTTGTCTCCAGTGTGAACTACAAAAGAATGGGAGGGAATGTTCAAACCCGTCATATTGAATTCAGTCTCTAAAAGAGTGTACTAAATAACTGGGGCTAGCCCTGCCATTGAGCAGGGCGAAGCAATTTGCCTCAGGTTTTCCCAAGGGAGATAGGAATAGATGAAGGAAGGAGTGTTTCTAAAGGTTCACTGTGACTTTTGAGGACAAGCTGTGTTTTAGTAAGTACAATATCTTGGTCAGGGGTTGTAACTTGACATTTATTTAAAAGCATATGCAATTGCTTTCATATGGGAGACCATTTGCTCCTTCATCCACACTTGTGATGTTTCCACTATATCCATTCCAGCAGTTCTGCAGCAACATGGTAAATATTGCTTAAGTTGGAGATACTGCAACTTTTCACAGCCAAATCTCCCACTGTACATTTCTGACAATTAGAACACAGCTGAGAGTAGTCCTGCACAATTACATTCATCCATGCACAAGGATATACACACTAATATACTCCCTGGAAATGTGGGAGTATTAATCCTCTATCATGAATATGGTGAGGGGTAATAACTCCATCTCAGCCACATTTCCTAGCATCACCTAGTTGATGTCTGAGGTTATATGACATTGGATGCATCCTCAATAATAAGACAAGCACTGCTGATAAAATGTAGTTTTGAAGACCATAACTTATTTTTTTATTTTTCTGTTATAGGCATGGAATGCAAAAACTGGCAATACTTCACAGTCACAAGAGCTGGAAAACAGCCCAGAAAACAGGCCTTCCAGTAAGCATGACACAGTTTACTTTGCAGCAAACAAAGCTCTGCACTGCGATCTGTAAATGCTTAACCAACACTGGCAACCCAAGAAGGACTGGAGTCTGGCGTGTACTGTATTGTCACCTGCGGAAAGTGTCTTATTCTGCGCCTTAATGCCCTGTCCATAAAATAGCTATGATAATGATGGCCTAACAGAGGTGAACACACACAGCCACTTTTCTTTCTGCTATCAGAAGTGAACAACAGGGACTCAGGACACTGAGAAGCCCAGCTTCTGTTTCTCTATGTATGGTGTGTTCAGAAATGCCTTGCACTCCATGTGATCCCTGCAATCCAGGAAGCCATGCTCCCCCCTGCCCCCCATTCCCCGGCCCAAACTCATCTTTCACACTGAGCTACACTTTGCTATCATAGGATAATGGGACAGCAGACTCTCCCATCATTAGTTGCAGTTGTTTTATTCCTAACAGTTCCTTCCATGAGAGCCCTGAAACTCAGTTCCCCTATAGCTAATCCTAAAAACAGAATTTCATGCTTTTTATTTTTTATTTTTAATTTAGGAAAATATTTCCAGTCTTGGCATGCAAGCCATCAGGTTCACGTCTTGCAGCCAACCCCATGTGGTTCTGCTGGTTTTCAGAAAATGATCTCAGGGAAGATTTCCCCTCTTTTCCTGGAAAGAAGACAACTGGCATCCTTAAGAAGGAAAATAAAGCCCTTTGGCAACATGGTTGCAGCCCATTTGATCTGTTCCATTCCTTTAAGATGTTACACAGAGAACTTATGCTTCTAGTTAATGTGGATAACCTGTTTCTTGGTTTTGGCTAACAATCTTGGTCTGGAATATTAAATCAGGTACTAAATGTTGCTTTCCAGATCTCTTTAGCTTAGATGTTAATCAGAGCAAACTGTTGCATTCTCTTCTATTCTGGGTCCCAGGCAAAGTTAACTATGCCATTGAATGGAAGACAATAGGAAATGCCTATTTTGATCATGCACAACAATCCATTATCTTAGGGAGCACCTTACTCCATACATCCCTCCTCATCATCTAAGATCATCAATGGAGGCCCTCCTACATCTTCTTCCTAAGGAGGTTAACTGAGAGGTTGCAATCCTTCTCTCTTCCTCCCTTTTTTGTATGCACAAATTAGATCCTACTGAAAATGAATTTCTGCACACAGTCACACAACCAGTCATTCTCTTTTATCTTGAAGGCAAGAATAAAGGTTAGGTATGTGGGGTCAGCGGGGATAAGAAGCAAATGCTTTCGAAATACATATCTACAAGCTAAAGAACATTTCCAAAACACCATAAAAAGTGTGCTCAAGGTTCATCAACAAAGTCTCTTTTTCTATGAACAGCCCTTTGAAAGCTTCTGGATGAGAAAACATGCCGGCCTTGACTTAGTGGGCTTTTAGATTCCCACTGCATAAGATCAGCTTCTTAGGACACAATCTTCCTGATATCATCTGGCAGTACTGCAGAGTTATACCAGTTCCAATCAGTTTCCCAGCCACCCTTCCTCTGTTGGTAAATCTAGACTGCTGAAAATCTTGACTGCTGCACTTCATTCCTCCCAGAGGGTTCTCATAAGCCTCCAAGTGTAGAGACTCTCGTACAAGCATCTGCCACAGGGGCAATTGGATTGTGCCCTTAGCTACTCACAGAATTCTCTACTAAAGTACTTTCTAATTAGCAGTGTGCATTGCTAGTTCATTCTTCCATCTATCCTCTTACTGACAGTGCCATATACCACAAGGTACAGTATGCCATTAAATTCCAGCCAATCGTTTCCTTACAATCAATATCCTAAGAACTAAAGCATGCTTACTTACCTACTAAGATTATTACAAAGGAAACAAGTGCCAGGCTGACTATTAAAGTAATGATCAATGTGACAAAGAACCAACTTTGGCATTTCCCGCTGCTTTGCTTTGTCAAACAGCCAGTACTGTCTAAATGCTCTTCCAAGACTGCTGAAAAACAAAAACAAGATTCTGAGAGGAAAACATTTAATGGCCATTGAGAATGTACATAGAAATTGGCTCTGGTTCTAAGAAAAGCATAGCAGAAAACAATCGTAATTTCTGAAATGAATCCTGCTATTTTTCCTCCTTAGTAATGCAAACCAACTGTGTCATCTATCCCCCTATCAAAAGCAAAAAATATATAGCTTTTATTTCAAAAGGAATTCCACACTAGAAAAGTGACTTTTAAAACATCATATGCCTAATCTGTTGATTGTTATATAGCTGCTCCTTTTATGAACAGTTTGACTCATACAGTCTTAAGAGGCTTTGGTGGAACATTATATTCTGTTTGGTATTTGGTAGATAGAAACAGTATATTCAGTTCAGGCAAATTTTTAAAATGTTTAATTTATAACCCAGCAAGAGGTTCCCAGTCAAACTGTGTAGTAGAAATGTAGTAATGGTGTCATTCCATTAGTGCAAATGAAAGGACACAATTATTACTGTGCTAGCAGAAGCTAGGTTGAAAACTAAGTAGAAGAGAATCCAGCTACAGTTGCATTTGCACAAGTGGCTGTGCATTATGCTTGCACAACCCATTGTATAACCACATGGACTTAGCTGTTGTTTAACCCTTTGTGTCCCTGGTGGTGCCACTCTGGTGCAACTGCTTGCACAACTGTATGCACAAACCTAATGGGCAACCATTTATGCAACTCAAAGAGTCAGCAGAGCTTTGTAGTATTGTTGGAATTTCTGAAATGACACCACTGAATACTGATTTAGAGTAATTTTAAAAATGGGAGCTGCAATCAATTCCTGAATCAAACCTTAGGAATAGAAATCCAGTGCAAATGTTGGGTCAGTGTTATGATGTGCTTCTATCCCACCATGACCATCTCATTCTGCACCAGCTGTAGCTTTTGAATGGTCCTCAAGGGATTCCTGATAAATAATCTGTTGTAGAAGTTTAGTCTCAAAGTTCCAAAGGCATGAATGATGGTTGTTGAGTCTGAGAACAACAGGCTCAGTCCTCTTAACAGGCGGATTTCATGGAAATTACTCCTGGCCACTCCTGCAACTTTCAGGCCGTGTAATACATTTAGGAGAATCCAAGACAGCAACTCTGCATGATCAGGAGAAGCTGGACCTTGTAAGTAATAGGCGTCCCATCCCCACCCCCACCCCCTGCAAGTTACAAGGCCTGCCATTCATTATTTCTGCTTCATCCTGAATTTGTACAGCCCCCTAGTGTAGCCTGATACTGAGAAGACATCAAGACATCAGTTAAATTCCCTTCTTGGAGATATCCACCAGGTGCCTACTTTTCTTTCTTTTAGGTGCCAGGTGATTTTTTTAAATTTAAACTAGTTTTTGGTTGATTTGATTTAAATTGATTTAATACATCTATAATTTGTTATAGATTTTTATCTTAATTTAATTTTGCTTAATTTGTTGGTTGTGTCTGCTGTGTGTGAGAGTATATTTTATTTGAGGGACTCTATTTTATCATTTTGAGGTGCTCTATTATTCTATTGTATTATCTGATTAATACTTGTTTCACTGTAATTTATGTATGTTTTTTTATTCTAGTATTGTAAGCCACCCAGAGAACCTTTGGCTTATGGGGCAGCATAGAAATGGAATTAAATAAATACATAATAAATAAAGATCATGGGACAAGGGCCAAATAAAAAAGACACTTCTGTCATTTGATTGTATTTTTCCATACAATCTCATCTGATTCTCATGTTTAATAGCAGAGGGACAGATGGGGAACCATCAGGCTGCCCTGGGGTTAGAGGCAAGAATCTTCAGGGCCATCACTGTGTGTGGATGCCTCGTGGAGTGTGCTGTTATTATGCAGCTGAAAGCATCTTCCTAACAGTGAAGCATTTTCAGGCTCTGCACTAGCCTGCCTGCTAAGTTAATGAACAGGAAGGGCTATGAAAAGGCTTCCTGTTTGGACTGGAGTCTTGCCTGAGCAGCAAAGTAGCTCTGCCTTAGGTTTGTCTTAATGTCATGGAGAATATTGCAGTTGGCCTTCAGTAACTTCTAGGATCCCTTTCTCAGGAATGAGTGGAAGAGCTACAGATGGGGAACCATCAGGCTGCCCTGGGGTTAGAGGCAAGAATCTTCAGGGCCATCACTGTGTGTGGATGCCTCGTGGAGTGTGCTGTTATTATGCAGCTGAAAGCATCTTCCTAACAGTGAAGCATTTTCAGGCTCTGCACTAGCCTGCCTGCTAAGTTAATGAACAGGAAGGGCTATGAAAAGGCTTCCTGTTTGGACTGGAGTCTTGCCTGAGCAGCAAAGTAGCTCTGCCTTAGGTTTGTCTTAATGTCATGGAGAATATTGCAGTTGGCCTTCAGTAACTTCTAGGATCCCTTTCTCAGGAATGAGTGGAAGAGCTGGCAGAATGCCTCTCAAACAAAGATCTAATGGGACCAAAGTGAGATCATTTCCTGTTGATCTATAGAGGAAAAGGTTACTGAGGCCACCAGCTTAATCTCAGTATTACCAGCCCTGAAACCCACATTAGGAAAAAGATGGTACAGTCACCCAGTAAGCAGAGTTGGATCTATTACTACACATTCTTCTTCAGGAAGAGAAAGTTGGAAATACTTGAAAAAGTTGGTAAGTGGTTGCATCTACCTGGGGGTAGATTATTTTTAAAGCCTGAATTAAAATGCTTTAAGGCTTTTTCCTTAGGCAAAAAGACCTTTGGGTATGGATTTCCTATGCCCGAGTTTTTGGTGGCATGTTACTGAACATTAGACCAATAAATCAGGCATTGCTTTTATTTAATTTTCCCACCTTCCTGCAAGGATCTCAAAGTCACTTATGTAATCCTCCTCCACATTTTATCATAACAACCCCGATTGTTTGATATATAAGTTAAAACTGGTGCATGAATATGGGGGGAATGGGTTAGCTTAAGAATGAGCAGTGCAGTGTCATGGCTGACTAAACTCCTGTGCTGCAGAGCTGGCCAAGCAACCTTAAAAGTTCTTCTGGCTTTGTATGTTGCATGCACAGTGATGTGGCCTGAGAACACCAATGGCACATACTCCAGCTCTTGTGACCCTTCTACCCACCTCTGCTGGCCGGCCTGCCAACCCACCAGCTCGTTTCCCAACCTGCCATATACCAGCACTCTGAAGCAATATAAACTGTTGTTCAAGGAACTGGCTGTTTTCAGGGCTAGCCTCTCTTTTCCATCACACATTTTCCTGCCTGTGCATAAATTGAAACTTGCTGACTTTTAATAGTTCTTTTCTCACCATTTCCTACGCCTTCTTAACAAATACATTATGTATGAAGTTTATGAAATTGCACCACCACTGATGCAGCTTCCCAGATGCACTTATGAAATATGGAGCACTGCTGGTTTGAGCTTTCAAGCACAGTAAGCTATCCGTAGAAGTCCAAGCAAATGCCTCTCGTCCATGCTGCCTAATGAACAGCTCTGACCAAGGGTGAGTCTTAGATTAAGGCCCTGTGAACAATCCGTGAGCAAGGCATCCTTCCAAGTCTCAGCCTACCAAGTTGTTGGTCTCAGCCTAAAGGAAAATGAAGCATAGCGTCTATCAAAAGCAATTAGAAGCCACCTATTCCAGAATTTCTTTTATAATTATGCATCACATGCTGTATTATATGTTACACAAGTCTAGTTCTTATTAATTACCAAGCAGCAAAATTCAATTACATGCTATGTAGAAGTGTTGCTTCTCATATTTCTTCACAAACTAAAGCTTAGGCTGATCAGGATATTTAAAATGTCTCACATAAAAATTTAAAAATTTAACTTGAAAATATTTTCCTTTGCAATTTATAAATAGTATCACAGATTCCTGTGTAAAATAGCTGACAGCTATAAAGAGGGTGTTTGTCTTAATAGTAGAGGGAGACAACATACCCCTCACTGGCTGCATTCCTGAAGCTGCATACTAGATTGCAGCCCACAGTAGACAAATTGTGAAAAACAAATGACTCTGAACTGTAGTTCTTTAAAATCTTTAAGACAGCATTGATTGGCAAACTCTAGTTCTAAAGTACATTCACCATACTGAAAGTGACACCAAATAATCTAGGCTATTGGTGACATCCATCCATCCATCCAAACACATGCCCCAGGCCTCAGATAAGGGCAAGGACTGATGACTGCTCTGGAAACTCTTAAATTCATTTTTCAGCACTCAGAATTGGGCAATCAACTTTTTAATTTCTCACAATGTCCAAGAACACTTCTATAGTGGGGCATTGTGGGTAAATTAAATGGTGGCCACACAGTGCCCCTCAATCAAACACACACCACCAGGTAAGCTTTCTAGATCATCTCTACTGCCACCAGAGAGAGCCACCCATTAAACCTGGAGATGGTCTTAATGTGCCTGTTCACTTACTGAGAAACAATCTGGTCTAAAATTTATATATTGCTGCTAATCTTAAGCTGAATTATATATATGCATGCTTATTTCAAATTAAGGATAAACCATCCAATTCTGTATGCGTTCAAGCAACAAAATATGGAATGTTGCCAAGAAACTGTAACTTCCAAAAAGGCTTCAGAACACAGGGAGTTGGTTTTAGTTAAAAATAATCTTGTTGCCATGTGTACATTAGAGACAAAAACACATGAGAATAAAATTAGGATGGAGCATTTGACAAAGAATTATTTGATGAGGCTTTATGGAATGAGGAAACTGTTTAAGGGAATATCATATCCAGTTCAAGCCACCTCCAAAGAAATGCTGCCCCCTGAATGAGTTGTATTTGCTCCTTCTCTTTAAAACAATAAAACATCACTTCCAAATTGCTCAGATCAGAACCAAATTTTCAGAGGAAATGAAACTCCCCTAGCTCATAATGGAAGAGGAGGGGCATAGAAATGCAATCCTATGGCATTCACTTGGGAGTGAATCCTATTGGGAAAGAATATGACTTATTTTTCCCCAAACATGCATAAAATTGTGCTGCACAAAATCTATACTGTTCAGAAAAGAAAACTGCAACAACCCAAAAAAACCCCCCAAAAAACCTCCAGAGAAGGAAAAAGATGGAGATTAAAAACAGCCAATAGAAAACACAGTTTTCAGAGCTTTAAAAGCAGCTAGCAGGGAGCAACTAAATTCTTGAACAACATGGTAAAATGTTAAATTGTGCTTACTATCAGACAAGCAGTGTTGTTATCCAAGCTAGTCACCAGATGAAACTGAAGACAGGGTTTCTATAGCTTAAGCCATTCATAATAACTGGATTTTGCCTGATGCAGATTCTTCCCTCAGTCAAATGTCCCTCTTCTACAGTACTTAGTATATTTCACAAACTTCATCTCCTACTGAATCTGATCATCCTGAACAGTTGTAAAATGAGTATTTGGGCTTGTAATTTGAAGTAGTATCTTTTAAATGTACACAAACTTCACACTGAATTAAAGTACTCAGACCACAGCCACCACCGAGTTTTGCAGATTTTGTTTTGTGTGGGAAACCTGTTGGTGAACAAAATAGCTAATCTTGTTCTGATAACTGGAAAAGTGGTTGAACAATGTTCTGTGGCATACATACGTTGTTGTGGAGATCGATCCACACAAATGCTTTGTTCATTTAAGTTGTTTAAAGAATCAACTGCATAAAGTTTTCTTTCTTCATGAGAGTTTTGTAAGACACCTTCAGCAGAAGATCTCTCCATCATGCCTACAAAATAACAACAGTTTCTTTTCTTTTCTTTTCTTTTCTTTTCAGAACTTGGCAAAAATGACTCTAACGAAAACGTATAATCTCACCTCTAGGAAATAACCCATTAAGAGCACTATCCAACAGGAAGTTTGTCCCTCATATAGAAGCAAAATCTCACATAGGGATTTGGTGTTACCATTACAGGTTTTATGCTGGACAAATGCTGCTAGTCTATTTGGGGTAGCATAGTCAGGTGGTGTGAGGGTCAAATTTGCAAGTTCTTCAGCATCTTAAAACTGAGCTGCTAATGTGCAGCAGCCCCTTCCCTCCCCCTCTGTGTTTGTGTGCATGTGTGCGTGCACATCTATAATAATAAAATACAACAATGCTATTTAGCATTCTGAAGATTATCAGTGCTACATTGAGAAACTGGACCAATGCTTAATTATTCAGGATCATTAATTTCTCCCCTGTATTGTTAGAAGTCTTTGAGTGTGGCATTTCATATCAGATCTTTGAAAGACTATGAGCTTTCAGAGGCTGAAGCTTCCTTTATCAGATGTATAAAATGGACTGGAGAGCTTATACACTTTGGAAGGGGTCCCAGAAAAAATGTACCTTGGAAGAAGAGTCAGAAGAAGTGCACTAAATCAGTCTAGTTTGAATATCTTGCTTTGGATCTCTAAACATCACAGGGCAAATAAAAACAAACAGAAAGAGAAATGGACAAGAAGAAAATGCATTTGTGTCTACAACTAATTTATTTAGACACTAAGCATACAGGGTCATTTTTATCCAAGTCAATAAATGTTGCTGGACTCATACTACATTTACACATGAGAACTGTGATACTGAGTGTGATTTCCAGTGGGACAAATTACTCCTTTTGAATTATCAGGCAGAAAAACAGTGCAAGAAGAATGGGAGCAGTGTCTTTGATTGGGTTGTTTCCTTCCTGTAGGGATGATGCACATGGAGGAATTGTTGTGGTTTAAAGGAGTTTGGCTTACTCTATCACCTAAAAGCTCTACCAGCTTCTTCTGATTCTTGTATAACAGAAGAGGATTGCTGCAGCCCTAAAGGAAGGCTAAGGCATTGCTTTTCACCTTCAAAGCAGACTCCTCTGCCATGAACAGTCCTAATTCCATGAACCATCACCTGAAGCCTGAAAAGCCTGAAAAGCAAGTTGACATACAACAGAAATGGAATAAAATACAAGAAGAAGTCCTTTCAAGGTTTGTGAATTGTTTCTTAATTTTTATCTTATTCTGCATCGGTTCATAAAGCTCTGCTTTGCTTCGTGGGCTTTCCTTTGTCTTGAGTTCCACAGTGTATATTTCCCAAGTCAGCCTTTCCTTGGTGTTTAGAGCAGCAAGGGCCCTGGTCTTGGATCACAGCCTGATAAAGCAGGCTGCTGCCCTTAACACAGTGCAGCTACTGTTCATTTCTACTGTTCAAGTTAATTCTGACAAATTGCCATTCATTTTCTCTAATGGCAATGGCTATACCACTTCAGAATGCAATAGAAAGTTTAAGGACTATATGTTCCACTATAAAACAAATTGCTTTCAGACAGAAGTGTTCCAGTCGAGTCTTTCCCTTGATACCTTTCTTTCATCTTCGCTTTTTTGGATGAAGCCCCCCCCCCCCCCCCGCCTCTAGGATGCAGGACTTGTATTGAAGAGCACCTAGCCATGTGGGACCTATCTGAAGTTGTGCTCTCCAGGCACTGTTTGTGAGAACTAAGCTTAAAAAGAAAGGAAGAAAAACACTGGTGTGACTTGTTTGATTTGTTCAGTGTCCTCATGATCTGAAGCAAAACTTAGCGACCTTGTTGACAAAATCAAAGAGTTACCAACAGGATCTGGAAGATATTGCCAAATGTGGTCAGTATCCCTTAAATATCAGCCATTAAGCTGTACAATGTAGGCATTTTTCACAGTAAGAAAGCAGCCAGCAGGGTTCTCTGAAACAGTCTCCTAGCCACTATTCCCCTATTACTTTTGCCACCATTGCATTGATACTGTGGAGAGTGAGAAAAGGAAGGGGAAAGGGAACATCGTGCAGTAACACCAGCTCAAGCAGAGAGAAAGCTTACACTGGAGCTTCATGCCTGCAGTTCTCTGCATCCAAACCCTTTGGGCTCTCCAGATCTTGCAAGTCTGTCCTCCATACACAGACTTGTGAAATGGGACTGTCTTCAACACAATTTATTCTTATTTCAAAAGGTTGTGGATAGTGACTTTGAAAAGACTGCACAAGTATAGTAGATCTCTTCCATAACTCAGGTGTAAATGTAACCCTGCCATGCAGTTTGTGATACTCTGCTTGAGTATATTTGAGCTGGCATATATAAATTCAGTGATGGCCAGAATGCCTTTAAGATGTCCTGCACCAGCAACTTCTTATGTGCCATCTTCCCTGCATGACAGGGTTGTATCACTGTGATCAGCTGTGTAGCAACAACCAACCCTGTTGCACAAGCATTACAGACCACTTACTGACTGCTGCATCAGCTTGGATGAAGTACACATCATCCAAGACTTAGATGGATGCTTTTAGACTTAGAATCTGGACTATAGATCAACTGAACATTAGAGTAGTCAAATAGTACAAAGCTGGCATGGGACACCCAATAGAATGGGGAAGGGGTGAATTTACCACTAAGTGATATGAATAAGATTGGCAAAAGCTTTAATTTTGGTGATTTACTGATTTCCTTCAGGCAAAAGTGTCAGACAAGAGTGTGTTTTATTTCCTTATCTGTTCAGTCTGTATGCAGAACTGAGGCAATACAAGAACTTATTCAGTATAAGAACATTTTGCTGGAGACTAAGGTTAAGATCATCCACACTATGCTATGTATGGATGTGCAAGCTGGAAAGTGCAGAAAGCTGACAGGAAGAATATTGATGCATCTGAAATACAGTGCTGGAATAGAGCTTTGTGAATAAACTGGATTGACAGAAAGATGAACAAGTGGGTCGTAGATCAAATCAAAGCAGAACTTTCTCTGGAACAAAAATGACAAAACTGAAGCTGTCATACTTCGGACACATTATGAGAAAGTATGAATTACTAGATTAAGCACTAATACTATGGAAAGTCAAAGGCTGAAGAAGACAACTAGCTATGAGATTGATTCTAAAAAGGAAGCCATAACCTGCCTTGAGTTTACAAGAGCTGAGCAGGACTGTCAAGGGCAGGATGTTTTTCAGGGCTCTTATTCACAGAATCACCATAGGTGGGAGATGACTTGATGGTACGTAGCAATAACAACAGAGCTTACAAGAGGCGTCATTTGAGATGGTCAAGTCAAATAGGAGGTATAGCATACTGCCCTCAGGACAGATGGATTATTGTTCCCTTGGGAAAATATCACGTGTAGAAGAAAGCAAAAATCAACGATCATGTCACTGTTGCTATTTTTACTTTCTCCTCTGAAGACATTTATAGACAGCTGTACAGCTAACTTGCACAAGAACAGGGATAGGTTTGGCACATGAGCTGTGTGGAGTTATAAAGAATCACCACAATCTTCAGCCTGTAACCCACCTTAAATTTTTTGAAGATTTTGCTTCCTCAACTTTTCTTGTTCTGAAGGGAAAAGAAAAACTGAAAAATGGAAGAAACTTCTACTTAACTCGGTTCTGCTAAATGTAACTGGCTTTGACTGAGTGGTTTTAAGTACCGTTTGGAATAACTAAAGCCTACCGTTCCATTTTGCACTTTGGATTTCTGTAGAATTAGAAACAAGATGCTGTATCCAATTTTGGCTTTTCCCTCAAGGGTGACCACAAGCAGGCAATAATAGCATACATACAGAGCACTAAGTACTCATTGGTCCTTGACACAGCAAATACCATCTTTCTGCCATTTGAGTGATTGTCAGTATTTGGTCACTGACTCATAACTTTTTCTTTAATATAAGGACAGAAATTGCTAGAAAGGTAGCTCCAGGCTTCAGTTGAGCAAAGAATTATTTATTATTCATTATTTAAGAATTTATTTAAATTCTAAAGATATAAGAAACTGAGTATTACTTACAGCTGAAGCATGGCCATCTATACTCCTTTGCCGAAGAATTCCAACATTATGTGCCAGCACAAAATAGACTGCATGCTGTTCCTTGCTCTTCTGGAAATTCATTGGAGTCTGAATGGAACCCACAAGCTCAGTTCTGAAGCAGACTGTTCTTTCCATCTATATTTAGTATTCATTTCAGCCAAGTTGTCAGGTTTCAAATGTTTGATTGGATTATGTGAGTGTTGTATGCAGAACACTGTTATAAGGTCCACATTAGATACAAATCCACTGTCTTAATCAAATGTGTGGATGGTGTTCACATTTCTGTAATGCTTTTTCCTAGCATAAAAGTTCCTGGCTCACTGCAGAGAATTTAACATTTTCATGTGGACTTCCCAGAACTATCTAGAGCCTGTTTGATGTAGTGGTGAAGAGTGTGAGCCTGGCACTCAGGCGATCTGGATTCTAGGCCCTGCTTGGCCATGGAGGCAACTGGGTGACTTTGGGCCAGTCACGGATTCTCAATTTACCTCACAGGGTTGTTCTTGTGGGGATAAAGCCTGAGAGCAGCAATTTTCATCTTGTAAGAAAAAAGATGGAATAGAAATCTAATAAATCAATGAATCTATTCATCCCTATGTGTACAGGATGCTGGATTATATATAGGCTTGTGATCTGATTCCACATGACTCGTTTTCTTATGCTGAGTCAGTATAGAAGACCAGTCTTGCAAGAACACAGAACCTTTGCTGTGAGGTCGTAGCACTCCATTCTTGTAATACCCTCTCTGTGATTACTTAGGCATCAGGTCAAAGCCCTTTTGATTTACCAAAGCTTTAAATGGAAGTAAAAGCTCCCCTAACTGTCCATTGGTTTTATTGTCTGCTGTTGTACTGACTTTGGTCCTCTGGCTTTTGTTGGTTAGCTTTAATGCAACGTTAACTTTGAAACGAACAGTCACTTTGGAGACTTTTAATGGGAAAGTGCCTCAGAAACATTTTTAAATACACAAAAAACATATCTGTTATTGTTATAATTGATATCCCTTTTTTCCTGCAAAGAACCCAACCCAGCTTTCATAACCCTCCTCTTGATTTTATCCACACAACACCCCTGTGAGGTAGGTTATGCTGTGAGACAGTGCCTTGCCCAGGTCCCCTAGTGAGCTCAATGGCTGAGTGGGCCAGTAATCATACATTTACCACTTCTCCATATATTCCATCTACATCCACTCATTTATATTTGAATATTTCATATATTAATATGTGTACGGCTAAAAGAAACAAGTGAATATTGACATTAATATTACTAGACTTTTCTTGTGTGATTGGAGTTGTTTCTATGTCTAGATAGGTAACTATCAGGCAATCACTATGTTTTGAAACAAGGTATGCAGCAAGTTTAAGCCTGATTTTAAAACAGTGTAAGAGTGGTGGGCTACCTCCTCCTCTAGATGCCAGTCAGGAATGTGAATACTAGCTTTTATGGTGCAGCAGTATTCTGGGCATATTGCATCCTGGGTCATATTTACAGAAGCTGCTTTCTAAAGAGGCCATGCAAAAATACATAAACATCCTTGTCAGTCAGCAGGTTTCATTAGTTTCTAAAGTCTTTTTAAAAGCCCTTGTTTTTAAAATGTGAAGGAAGCCCACCAATGAACGCCTTCATCTTGAAACAGGCCTCTGCACATGCACAGGGATATTTTTCAGGCATAGACTTGTGGAAATTTCAGTCAAAAAGGTGTGCAAAACATGGGCCATCTTAGAGGCAGCCTGCCAACCCCCTCAACCCCTCCCTCCAAAAGGAACCCCTCAACTTGCTCTATTTGCAATGTCAAATTCAAAGGTGGCAGGAAACCCATCAAGCACAAGTCAGATTTCCTTGTGCTGGCATATTCCCAGTTAAGTTTCCTTTCTCACTTAAAAACCTTATTCCTAGTACCTTTCATCACATCTACCATACTGCTTCATTTCTGCATGGAACTGCAGATGAAGGTTGTTGATTTGGGTGTCATCAGTACCTAGTTCTGCCTTTTCTCAGCTAATCCAGGTATAGCGGTTGATGTTGTGGGCAGGCTTCAGTAATGGACCGTATAGAGACTAATAACTGAAACTCTAAGGCACTACCAAGCTGCTGGAATGCACCTTAGGAGTTTGACCTAGAGCTTGCTTCCTTATGGACCAGTTGTTTGGGACACCAATGGATCTAGGTTTTTTTTGAGGATCATGTGACATTCATCGCCTCAGCTAACTCACTTGGTACATCGTCTCCTGGGAAAAACCACCTTGCCTTCATAATCTATACTTCAAATGTACACCCCTTTTTTAACCCTAAAAGGTGCCCAAGGCAGCTTACAAGTCTTTTTTCCTTTTTGTCCAAACAGCCCTATGAAGTAGGTAGGCGGAGTACCCATGATTAGCTCAAAGTCACTCAGTGAGCTTAATGGCTGAAGATGAAGTAGAACTCAATTTTGCAGGCCCCAGTCCAACACTAACCACTTCACTACATTGGCTCCCTATGATTGCATTGCTGCAGCACCCATATACTGAGTTTAAACAGCATCCAGAAGCTATGGCTGATCCTGAAAAGTGCTCAACAAGCTGTTAACCTGGACTTGCTACTCAGAATTGGAAGTTTCTCACTGACTTCCAGTTGGGTTACACACAGAATTCAGTTGGTTTTGACTTTCAAGCCCCCAGTGGATGACCTTGTCCACACAGTGGCAGCAGGGATGCTACTCTCATTGTCCTGTGATGGCAAAGTCAGGTGACAACTAGAGATGAAAACTTTTCTGGGGTAGTTTCTGAAGTCTGGAATTTCCTGTGGCCGGAGCTGTTTTTGGCTCCTTCTCCTTTCAGCAACAAGACAAAGTGCCCAAGCATTTACACCTCCCAAGTGTAATAAGGAAAATGTTCCGTTGTGCCCAAGGCCCTTGCTGCACCACATTTCAGGTCACAGTTCATGGGTAGCGTGCTAGAAGCATTTAGACCCAGGTATCTCAGGGGAGAGTGCTCTATCAACTGGCCTAGCTGTCAGAAAGCAGCAGGACCTTGGAATACACCAAACAGAGTCTGTTCCACTTCTTCCCCAACTCACTTGGGGAAGTGGGTTACATTGAAAATCACTATTTTACTTTAAGTAGCTGGCCTTTCACAACCATGAGATCACCTGCCTAGAATAATCAAAGCTTTTTGACATCAACTCATTTCAGAAGGATATTTCATATAAAAACAGATTTCAGAGATAAATATATTTTATTATCCAAGTTTCAGAATGTGATACACAACATTTCTTTAAACATTTGTCTGCTACTTCATTGAAAATCCAGCTTCACTGAGCTGGAGGGGCCCTGCATGGTACACCAAGGTCACTGTAACAGCCTTGATGTTGAGATTTAAAATAGTTTGTTGACCATAAAATAGGCATGTTCAGCCTCACAGAGTATTCATCTTAGAATTTCTCACCTATTTCATTAGTTTGCTAAAACCAATGAGCTGAATCAAAACAGTCCTCAGCACCAAGTGACTAATAGTGATTTAAGAATTATGCCAGAATCACGAGCCAGGCTCACATACCATATAGTGCCAGAAGCTTCCCTCCCAACCTTCTACACTCTAATCTACACTACAAATATCCACCTAGGCAGTTAACAAACACCTATTACATTACATATATGCAAAATACCTAAGAGGACAGTTAAAATGCCTCATTTCACTTTAAGTACTACAATTAATTACACTTAACAGGAATTAGATTTAACCAAAATCAAGTTAAAGGTCTTCAATAGTTCCTCTAGAACACTTCACCCACATCTGCCCTTTTATCACGACATTTGCTTCGAGCCTTTGTCCGTGCTTTGAATGCTGCGGAGTTGTAGAGATGCTGGAAAAAAAAGGCAAAAGAAAAATTTACTCATTCTAGTAAAGCCAAACAAGTGATAAATGCTCCTCTGACAACTTTTGGGATTTTACATTCATCCTGCACAGATATACTCTGAAGTATCTGGCATGTGAATGTATCGGAACTAGGCAGTCTTGTGCTATTTGTCAGCATCACTTAAGAGTTGCCTTGTTCTACACTACCAAATTCTGAAGGTATAACTTCATAATTCCACATTAAAGCAAGAAGAATTACAGCCACAATGCCTTGAAACTAGACGTGACTGCATATTATCAGCCTGTCTAGAGAATGCTGTACAATTTAAATTACTGCTAAGCAACCCTGCCAGCACAGTCAGGCCTTTGGTTTATGAGTTTTATTTCTATCCCTTTCTGCCAGAAGGAATGTATCATTGAAAAAGTGGGAAAACACATTTTGTAATATTAATAAACTACTCATTATCTAAGAAAATATACATTTTCTGCACAATGTTCATCACAGATATCCATGGCAAGAGGGGGGAAAAAATCCACTGAGAACATAGCAACTGCCGAAAGACAATAGTTCAGATAAGCAGAAGGGCACTTTGAGGATAAAGTTGACTGGATAAATAGGTCCCATGCAAACCTCTATAAAATTATGCTATAACCCAACACTAGCTCCATCCTCTCTTAGGGAAGCCATAACTGGTCTCTTATAAGTCCTTCCCACTTATAAGCTGATGTGCTACCACCTGACTGCATTATAATATGCTGCCATTTGAAGACTTCAGAAATTTTAATAAGTCCAAAATGCAAATGACCAGAACAGGAACAATATAACAAAAAATGCACCGCAAGAACATCTGTGCTGGCTATCAGTATATTCTGCAGCTCAGTTCAGCACACTGGAATTGAAAGAGCCAGGGATCTGAAGACTGCTTCCATCCATATAAAGCATGCTCCCAGATTATCTGCTAAGGCCCTTGTCCATGGCCCCAAATGTCAGAAAAGGTGAGGCAGGCTTGAGGCATAGCGTGTTTTCTGTGGTGGTACCAAGACAATGAGATTACCTATCTGGTTCAGTATCCTGTTTTCCAGCAGCCAAACATGATACCTATGGAAGGCATGAGGGAAATGTCCTGTTCCTACTTCTCCCAGCTACTGCTAGCTAGATGCATGTGACCTCTGAGGAGGTAGCATAAAACCATCATGACTAACCTTCATTCCATTCTAATTTTCCTGTTAAAGCCATCTTTAAAGTTGGTGCTCCTGTCCACATTCAGCAGAAGAAAATTTTGTAGTTTTAACTCTATAGTTAATATGAAGTACTTTCTCTCTTTATAGCTCCTGCTCATTAGACAACCTTTATAACCAATCCATATACTATTATCCCAAAAACCTTTTCCTCATCAGTCATTACCAGATGAAACCCCATCATCCGATTTGAAGTAAGGAATTTTTGTCCTAATATACATCACTTCACAATGAACTGCATCTGCCATTTTGTTTCATCCTTTTAAAGTTCTTTTCAACCTGTTCCTTGCTTTTACCATTCTGAATAATTTGGTGTCATCAGCAAACCTGGTCACATCACCAGCAAACCTCCTTTCTTCCATCTTTCCACTATGAGAAATATCCATGGATTCCCAATATATTTCCTGTTCTTTAACCAGGTGCTGATCTCATCCTCTTATGCTATGCCTGACTTTCATGATGGATTGCCAGAAGAGACCATGGTGACACAGCTTTCTGACAAAGAGCCAAGACTCTTTTCTTTTTTAGTTTTGTGGAAGTGATTATTTCTGCTTTGTTTGCTATTTATTGTTTTAATTATTGTACTATCATATTATTATTTTAATTATTGTAAGCTGTCCTGAGATGTTTTTCGGGAAGAACAGGGTAAAAATGTTTAAATAAAGAAAGACATTCTTTTTTCAGGTGCTACTTTTGAAGAGTTTTCCTGGTTCTACTGTTCCTAATGTATTTTTAAAAAATCATTTGTTACCTTTTAGAACATACCAGCATAGAAATGTTGATAATACATTTACTGCAATTTCAAAGTAGTATTGCCCTTAACAATAAGGTTAGCTAAAACCAAATTGTTTTAACTAATAGATTAGAGCATCTGCCCTCACTAACGATAGGTTTCACATGTGGGGCAGCTGATGCTCATATAGAGAACTATAAACTCTTTTCCATTTTGTCCCACTCATCAAAAATATCAGTTTCTTGCTTATTCAGGCTACATATCAAACACTGAAAGGGATCTATAGCAGCTGCCTGTTACTGTACAACTACCTGCTTCCCTTGCAGACTAGAAGTTATTTGAGCTGGTTTTTGGTTAAGAGGGTCAAGATGAAACAGGCAATTTGTTGACCATCCAAAGCCCAAAGAAAGGGCAGCCTAGGAATATTAGTAATTCCGCTGTACAAACCTGGAAAGTGGTCCCATGAATTGCCTCATACCCTACCTCCTCCACGCTGCTTAGACCTGCCCCCCACACTGCTCCTCCTCCCCAATTCACACAAATACACCTGCCCCAAAGCCGAGGAAGAAACCCAAGCTTGGATATGGGCCCTGACGGGCCAAGTGCACAGAGTGTTATGCTGGCATTACTCTGCTAGCTCTTTGCTACTACTAGACAAGGTAAAGGAACAGTACTGGCCATGGGACAGGTTTACTTTACTGTTCCAACATTTTTGCCGAGAGACAAGTACCCCAGAAAAAGCATTAAATGGTAAGGCAGAAATGGTACCTAGTAGAAAAACCAGATAATTCAGCTGAATAGAACACAAGTAACATACCCTTTCGAAACGGGGAATCTTCATGGTTTTAAGAGCTGCCTCATCAAGCATCAGTGGTGGCCCAAGTTCAAACACATTCCGGAGGAGCTCATTTGACTGCACAGAACATTTGAGTCATTAGAAGTGTGCAAAATGTTGCACTCTCAAGCATTCGGTGATTGCGATTAAGCTTGTAAGATTAGGGGCCTCCAAGCATAACTGCAGTCCTGTTTCTTGCAGTCCTGCTCAGAAATCTAGATGTTTCCTACCATAGTGTAGGCAAAAGAATAATCACAAAATGGTTATCTTTTCCCTTACTCTAGAGCAGGACTCAACATGCAGCCCACATACAACCATCCTTGGCCTTTTGAGCACAGTGGCCAGGGAAAGGCTGCAAAATAACCCAGTTTTTAGAAAATAAGGCAACAAAAAGGACCTATTTTGAAAACATATTCCCCCTTTTCTGATGCTGCAACACCAACAAATTTCACAACTGCAAACTCTTGCTTTGTCCTTTCTAGAAGGAGCTATGTAGCAGTTTGTCTCTCCATACCCCTCCTGCTGGACTACTTTGGCGGCAAATTAAGGTAGCTCCCAGCTGGATTCAAGGGGCAATACTGCTCCCTGAACCTCACTGATGTTGTATTTTCATAGTAGTCAGAAAGTATTGTTAGTCACAGAGTAGAATAAGGTAAAAAAAAGAATGTATATTGGTTTACCTGCAGATGATATTGCATTCCTGATCCTAAAATGTCCTTGAACGTATCATATGTTTGTTTTTTAACCCAGCAGTCAATGTACATGCGCTCTGGTCCAAATTTTACTGTCTCAGTGGGGAAGTCATGCTCCTGTAAAAAAACCAAAACAAGCAGCAATGCCAGGTGTGGCATTAGAAATGCTACTAACAGCCCTTGCGCATATTAAGGCAAGCAAGTTAGTAAACTCTATGCCAGCCTTCCCTAACCTGTGGTCTCCAGAAGTACGAGACTACAGCTCCAACTAGCTACATCCAGTAGACCATGCTAAACATCTGGAGGGTACCAGGTTGGAGAGGGCAGCTTTATGTTATTAGTCTATCTTATTCAAGTAGAGAAGTGGCAAGGGCATACGAGCCTCCAAAATACAGCTGCAGTATTAATGCACTGGTTGATATTCTAACCTTCTCTACTCTCATTTATAAAGTTTCTTTAAAAGTTATGTCTCTATGATTAAAATATGAACACTGGAATGCCCTATCTTTGTCTGTGCTTTGGAACAAGAAGCCAGCAGCCTTGAGAAAGGAATTTGAGGTCTTTGGGAACTCAAGATTAGGCTGTTAGTTTTCTGACACCAAGCTGCCCTTTAAACAAAACCATCATCAGCTCTAAAGAACCTCACACTGCTTGAGTTTCCCCCAACCACCCACTATGAAGTCTGCTAAACATTAAAGGTCTCACATGTTTCATTAACCAGCTGTATAGTTGACTTTGAGCAGGATCCCCTTACTAAAAAACCAGTTTTTATTATTTTGAAAGGTATCTTTTTATACTGCATTGCACTTTACCTCCACAGCTCGCAAGACATCTCTGAAGACAGATCGCTGTTTCCTTTTGTCTACCTTAGCACGGTGTTTATTCCCATCTGTAGCCAGAGCCTTCAATTTCTGGGTTAGAAGTTCCATATCTTCATAAAAGAAATCCTAGCCAGAGGGAAAAGAAAAAGAACAGTTGCTTACAATGTCATTTTGTAGGTTGACTCAAGTTTCCAAAGTCCCAAAGAATTGAACTCGTTCATAGACCTACTTTATGTTTTATATTATTTAGAATAATTCAAATGCAGTACCAGACAGCTATTACTTAGCAAACAGTAAGCTTATTTCCATATCAAAAGCAAGAAATTTTATACTGCACCTTTGAGCCCTCCCTTCAAGTTGGACTCAGTTCCTGAAATTCAAAGTAGCTCTTTTCATTCATCTCTGGACCCTGACATTTTAGAGAGGCAGTCTAACGTAATGAAATCTATTGGCATGATGATTTGCATGGGAACCCAGAACAGTAGTTCACATGTCTGACATGAATGGTTTCAAATGAGTATATGCTCAACAGATTCAGGATTTTAAAACTCTGGTTAAATGGGTTCTTAAGTGGTATTAGTAGGGTAAGCAATGAGTTGACGGGTATGCAGAAGATACTTATTGTTTTAGGTTGGCCATATCAAGCCAAAAGGAATAACCAAAAATCCCAAACAGATCTCTCCAAACTGAGGAATGGACATTAAAATGAGAAATGCAGTTCTATGTAACTCTAAGAAAGCAGCATGCATTAAAGAAATGATACATTAACATCCTATAGGGTCTGAGCTATAGTGAATGACTAGGTTATTAGGGTTGTAGTAGCTAGTTTGATTATATTAATCCAGTGGGGTTTTACAAAAGGCAAACTTCACATTTTATAGCTCAGACTCAAGCTGCAGCAAAAGCTTGAATTGCATAAACCAGAATTGTATTTAGATACTGTGCTATGACTCATTTACATTTACTCTTTTCTGTTATCCTAAGTTGCCAAGACTTTCTCTGGCTACCCTTCCAAGATGGCACATAGGTAAGTTGAGACTATTTTCTTTAATGCTACTGAAGAAAACAGTAAAGATATTAATAAAGAAACATTAAAACTTCTAAGTCTGGAAAAAATTATTCAAAAGATTCAACGTGAACTTACTGCATCAACACCAGAGTATCCAAAGTAAGTTTATGACTACTGGATACTGCTGGCAGATATGAACTAAAGGGAGACACTTTACAGGGCCACATTATTACACCTTACCATATTCAAGAGGACAGGACAGTCATACAAACATTCAGCAGGACTACAAGCCACTGAAACGCAATTCTATTTCTGCAGTGTAACTAATCAACTGCTATTAGCAGAGGTATTAAAAAGTTGAGTTTGTATCAAGCCACTGTTTAGAACAATCTTTTTTGTACTGTCAATTTATATACATAATGCCATATTTCTCCACCATAAAGCATCAAATGCTATAATTCATGTTGTAAAACGGACTGCAAAAATACACCATCCTCATCTTTCTACCTTCTGTTTTATAATACTTTGAACTTACCCCATCTGTTGCTCTTGCCAGTTCAAACAAGAGAGCCAAGGTTTCACCAGCAGCAATCCTCATGTTTACATTATCACAGGATAACAGGACGGGAAATTTATGCAAATGCCTGGGAATAATAAGAGCATCTGACTTAACCAAAAGAAATACTGTACTTGTCATAAAGCAAAAGTGTGTGTCCTATGTACTGAAGTTTTTTTAAATTTCCCTGATCACTCACTGAATTATGGGAAATGCATATACTAGCTCCAGTTTTGTTGTACAATTTCCATCCCATTGAAACCAATGAAGGAAAACATGAAAGAAAAAGAAGAAAAACAAATCTCCAGTTTCTATCATGGGCCCAGCAGGGTCCTGGATATGGTGGTTTCTCTGACTATGGATCTCTGCCCTGCCCACCCCACACCAGAACAATGATCTGCCCAATGATTACTCCCAAGATAATTTTCTAAGGAACAGAATACCTACATTTCAAGTTTTTTCTTCACTTCATTCATTGGGCAGATGGTCAACAGAAGGGTCCATGCCAAGAGTGCACTGATGTGAAGAACTGTGTTCTGGGTGCTGGAAATGCTATTTGAATTTTTCTCATTCTGATAAGATTTGGTGAAGATATTTTCCAGGCATTCCATTGTTGAGTATAATTCCTAGTTTTAAAAAAAGGTTCAATGAAGGTGCTAAGCAGGACCATTCAGTATTTTACCACTGATAAAAATTATTATAAAAAATTTTTTACCGTGATATCATCGGTGGCAATAAAACAACAGACTCCTAAGCAGTTTGCACACTAGACAAAAGAAACAGAAGATATATTTTCAATTTTGGTTTGACTTATACTTGGATAACATTTTGAACTGACAGAATAAACAAGGTATTACTACAGCTGACTCTGTGCTACTGAGAACTCATGTGGTCATTAGATTGTGGGGACCTGGGAGATCTGGATTCTAGTCTCCACTTGGCTATGAAGCTCACTGGGTGACTTCGGACAAGTCACTGGCTACCATCCTAAACTACCTACTCTCACAAGGTTGTCATTAGATAAAAATTAACTCTGTAAGCCATCTTGGGCTGCTCATAAGACAACAAAAGGCAGGATATAAATGTAATGTAATAATAGTATTTCAAATTGATTCAACTTATTTGTCTTTTACACTGAGTCCTATCACCATTCCTGTATAGAAACTCACTTTTGCTTACATACTTTTAGCTAAATTACAGCATCTGCTATGCATTAGCATATTGACATGTCATGCCATACCATGGCTGTATGTTCCTGTCCCAATATTAAGATTATGCATGGATAACTCTTGACACTGCCACATTTGCCAGGAGTTCGATATGCAGCAACCCAGAAAGGACATTCCAATACAGACATTGAAACTGTGGAACTTCCCCTCCCCAACTAAAGCTATTCCATTCAACCAAGTTTTATTGTGTTGCTGCTTTGTGTAAATTATTTTTTTATCTATGTTACTGTCATCACCCCCCCCCCCAATTTGATTGGTTTATGACTTTATTGTGCTGCACTGGTTATACCCCACTTTGGGATTATTTCAGAATGAAGACGGGGCAATACATTTCAATCAGTGCTTGACTGCAGTCTTAAATGATTTTACAGAAAACAAAGGGTGTTCATACAGTGTGGCAGTCTAAGACTTCTCCTAGGTCAGACCCTTCAGGGTTTTTCTTTTAAAGACTGGGCCAGGTCTTAATGACTGGAGTACTATATTACTGGACACTGTCACTTCCAGCTTCCAAATATCATCTGTCTGCTTGCTCAGTGACTATTTCTAATATTCCCATGGGTCCTTTCTTTACTAGTGATTCGTAAAACACTGAGTTGAACAGACCCCTGTGCTTTTACCACCATTAACCAGGAATAGGCAAAGCATAGGTCTCTGGGTATTACAGCCTTCAAAATACCCCTGCTAGCATGGCCAATGGTCATGAATACTGGGAGCAGATGTCCAAAAATCAAATATCTTCTACCAACTCTTGCCATGAACTACAACTAACAGCCCCGCAACACAAAACAAAGATAATGCAGGACAGGCCACCTTTTTGATATTCTAGAGTAGGTGACAAGACAAAATGCTAAGTTTGTCAATAATATAGAAAAGGTAGAGAAGGAAACATGGTATACAAGATTTCTCCTAACAATTTTTTAACACTAGACATTTGATACTTACAGCTTGCCTTGCTTGTATACTTGCTGACCCGTCAGATAGTATCTTCTTCAGAATAGGTGCAAGGGTCTTAAAGACCTCCTCACTTTCAATGCCTGATCCCAACTGCACACAAAGTAGACAGGCCAGCCCTGCAGCTGCACATTGCTCATCACTCTTGCCTAGATAGAGAGAACAACCAACTGTGTAACTCAATCTGAAAGAAATTCATCTAAACAAAATAACACTGTTTTACAGAAAAACAGAACAGCTGTTACCTTTCTTGATACAGCGTTCAATACTATCTGTTAGTGTCATTCTCCTTTCCAGGATGAACTCATACAGTATTTTTGAAGTCAAGGCATTTTTAAGACCTTCAAGAGCTGATTGCCTTGTCTTTGCACTATTAAGAAAGAAAAAAAAGGCATTGAAAATTATCGGTTCACATAATTGTCACCTTTATCCTTCTTTTCATGGGGGAAAAGACTCTCAAGGGATACATAATATCTATGTCTAGTATCAGAGGCAGTAGGCTAGCGCTAGTTAAAACTCAGTCAAATCTACCTGAGCTGCTTTTGTGAAGACAAAAATGGCTTAAGCCATTTGTGATCCTTGCAAGAAGAAAAATGTGCAATACACACAATATTATATCAATAGCAATAATAAATAGATGTGGTAAAGAATATGTTACCAGGTATGTTTAAACATTAATAGTAACAGTAAGACAATGTTACTGGGAATAGCAGCTCCAGGATGCTGGATGAATGCTATAGTGCTTACTCGAAGGAGTAGTGGGCTGAGATATCATGCTATGTGAGCACACTGAAAAATGAGATGGTAGGCCAAAACAATCTGAAAGGTATTTTCCGAACTATTAAGTGACATCAGCTATCTGCAAAGTGAGACATATTGAAAACTGATTTGTACATGATTTAAAACCAATCTGAAAAGTGACTTCAACGGACTACTCAGCTTCCTGTACCTCTTGTCCAATGTAAGGTCAATTAGTCCCTTCAGCTTGTATTCCAAGTCTTCTTGGGTTGCTTCCTCTTCAACTTCAGGCCCTACACACATGTGACAAGATACATATTAAATATTTTAGTCTGCACACAGCTAGACCAGAACAGACTGACCATTGGTTCTCTGAGTCATGTGTGAGTAAATGATTTAATGCTGCAACCTTTGTTCCAGTTCTGCTCAAACAGCTCTTTCGCACATATTCTGCTCAGTGGTTCTATCATTACTGCAGAGGTAGAAAACACACAGCCTCCATTCAAACCCCATGGGCATTTTTACAGGGCTGCAACTGCTCTATTTGCTGCTGCCTGTACTGAAGGAAAAATCTCAACAATTTTGCAAGGAAAACAAACAAGTTAGCACATTTCTTGCTTGCAAGAATGATCATGCGCCCTTCCAGCAGCAGCAAATTCAGTAGCCATGGAGTGCAGTCCCCAGCAAGTTACATCCCAACCTGCAGAGCTAGCCCATCCCATACTACTGATAATGATGTCTGTGGGTAGCTACCTGAGAAAGGCTCCCAGGTTTTTCAACTCTGCCTCAGGGAACCCAGGTGGACCAATGATGCTTTGACATTGTGTAAAAACAATTTTATTCCACTGTGCTTTTGTCCTAAACAGAGGACTGATGCAACTCGGTAGCCAGTTTGAAAGTAACAAGAAGGTGGTTGTTTTCACTATGGGGCTTCTTGTTGCTGTGGTGACAGCTACCATTTTAAATATCTGAGGCATGAAGAGATGAGCCATAGATTTGTACAACATGCAAGCCTGGCAACCCTAAAAAGTGCATGCATTCTGGGCAGCTTGTCAGCTAACCCAACAACCATCCTCATCAGATCATCATGTAAAGAAAAACACTATGTTCCTGCCACATCCCGACTGCAAGGTGTCAGTCATCACGGCAAGAATCCTACAGGAATATCACCTGCAGTGCTTCTCATTAAGCACAAACCAGGTCAAGGTAAAACAGCTTCTTAAGTACCCAAATCTTACTGAAAATCTCCCCTGGCATATATTCATTTATGGACATAACTGAAATGAATTGTATCCACATTAAAATAGCAGCTTTTCCACCACTTATTTGTAAAACAATTTTTGAATAAACATGACTGAATTAACAAATTCACAGGATCACGGAAGAGGAAATGGTCATGTGTGGATGCTGCAGGATTCTGGGTGGCTTTTTACACAAGGCAGCCATCTACCCTGACCAGGTTCATGCAACAGAACAAGCCAAGCTTCCAAGGATTATTACAGAAATCCCTTTGACAAGCAACTGATACATGTGGGAGGCAGGGGGAATAAGCCTCATTTCACTGGGACCCTGAACAGGTAGGTTATGTAACCCTTGCAATGTTGGCTGTGCATGCCTAAACAAGAGAATGGCTAAAATGTAAGCAAAGTAAGAGAGCCAGAAATTTTGATTCCAAGGGCTGGACAGGGAACATGCTCTGTCGGGCATGCACCCAGTCCCCTCTGCCCCACACAAAGTCCATCTTCTGAAATAGAGGCGGGAGCCATTTATAAGCAAATCACAGTAAAGAGAACATATGGAGCACTTTAATGTAAATAGTATTATGCAAGTTTATCTGCAGTTATTCAACAAACTGATTTCTAAAATAGCTTTTTAGAAAAGAGGTGAATTTCTGTATTCTTCTATCCAACAGTACTTTTTGTAGGATGTCTCTTGCCTTCTATAACAAAGTCTTTCTGCACCACCAAAGAGCAACACTTGCCAGTTAATGTTCCTCTTCCTCTATTATCCCAATTCCAACTCAAATTTCTGTTGCCCCAGTACTCAAAGTATTTTCTCTTGCAATTCATTGATTGTTGCAGCCCCTTCTCTTGGCTACCTGCTTCTCTATGCTCTAGCCTCCCTGCAATGCTGTTGTGACAGCTTCCCCACCATGACCCACCTCTGCCTCCCACAGCATTCCTCTTTGATCCATTCACCCATTTTTCTGTCTTCATCTGTACATTCTGCCATCCTGCAGCAACTCAAGCCACGCTGGATTCTTAGGCATGGGTGAGCCACACAAATGTTGCTGGCTGACCATAAAAGGCTGGCAAAATGGGTGCCAATTCTACCATGCACCTCTGAACCCAGGAAACAGAATAGCAAAGCCCAGACATAGTGCTTCACTTCTGATTGTCTGGGTTGTGCAAATGGATCCACAAAGGTGTAAACCTTTTTCCAACCCAAATGACCTCTCAAAGTAGTTAGGATTTTGCTTTTGCAGAAAGTTTACAATAAGACCCAAGAATTAACATACCATCCTCAGTGAAGCTAGCAGGATCACTGAAGCCACTGCAATGGCTCATAGTTTCAATCGATGCATCTTCATCACTAAAAGGCTGCATGTTTCTGTGCTGGGCACCTAGGGAAAAAACATTATTAGTAGCAGTTCATATTAATACTGGAAGTTATTCTGAATTAGTTGCTCCCCATCAAGTCTAACATGCTGTTATAATGTTATTTCTTAAATTATGCATTCACACCTCCACTGAGATTACAATTAGTGTTTGAAAAGAACAGTTGACAATTGGCTACATCTGAAAAACCCACATTTTTCAGCAATCCACAGTGCTCTGTTCTACTTGATGCTGATGGTGGGTCAATCAGGAACACTTCCTGTAGGGTGGTTTCTTTTGGGGCAACCACCCATTCTGACAATGCATGCCATGCTATGGATTGTTGAGCCCACAATGGGTGTCATATCTTCCAGATCAAAACTTTTGTGAGCTGAATGAAGCAGAAAGTGAGCTACTAGGCAATAGTGGCAAAAAATCTTGTTGCTTTTCGAAATCTTATGCATGTCACTGCCAGTGACAGTATTTCACTAATGTTAAGTGGCACTTGACTAGCCTTCCCCAGCCTGCAGCCTTTCAGAGAATTTCCTGCATTCCTGACCACTGGCCATGCTGGCTGGGGCAGAGGGAGGCTGGAACTCCAAAGTATCTAGAGAGTACCAGCTTGGAGAAAGCTGCTCTAGTTGACTATAAAACAAGTTAAAAAACCCTGGGTTGTTAACAAAGCTACAAAAGCAAAGCTGAGTTCAAGCTTACTTCTCTTTCAGTCACATGTGAGGAAGGGATTTCGACACTTTGCCACAGACTCTTCCTATATCATGCACCAAGTTTGTACAGTGTAGCTTTACATGAAAAAACAGTCAACAAGTACAGAACTGGGGCAGAGGTAAATAGTTTAACTGAGAAACATTTGATCACTTGCTTTGTATCCCACATGCACTACATAGCAGGGGTGGCCAAACTGAGGCTCACAAGTTACATGGACCTATTGGAGTTTATTTCACAGCTTGCAGGGGAGCCAAAAAAGTTCAAGGCAAAGCAGCCAAGCTAGTACAAACAAAAGCAGGGAACAAGGCGTGAGCCTCCTACTGTGATAACTGATTGCGGTGCTTGAATCATATTACTGATCTGAACCTCAACCAACCAGAGGATCTGATCCTCGGATCCTCAACCAATCAAGGCTCAACCAGCAGCTGAGCTGGCAAGCACCCTAACAGAGCTAATTTGTACAGTCTTGACAATGACTCACAGCCAAGTTGGAGACCCACAAGACCATTACTAGCAGTAACTAGCCTGATAATTGTAGCAATGTCTATTTGCTCATAATGAAGAAATAAATATATGTTCATGCCTTGCAGCTCTCAAGCATCTGGCATTTACTGTATATTGTTCTTCCATTGAGCAAGTCTGACCTCCCCTGATATATGGACTATACACCCAAGTTTCACCTTATTTGAAGATTTAAGTATAAGAAAGTTAAAGTATGTTTGCAGATTCCCAGTTCTCATCTTTTTCTTACCAATGGCTAAAACCTTGTTGCTTCTTTGCCTGTTGGATGACACCTATGATAGTCTTATGTTATTTATGAACTACCAGAGCTAGAAGGTCCCTCTGTTGACAGTCTAATAGCTTATGACCCACAAACTATCAGTATTCTCCTGCATTTTAAATACTAGCAAGGATTTAGCAATACTGACATAAAGAGCATGTATAAGCACACGTGGCTTAAGGCGAAAATTGTAGTTAGACATACTGTGACTTTATAATTTCCAAGCTGCATTTGAGCTTTTCACACAAAGTATAATAGGTCCAATCTCACTTTTGTTTTTGTTTGAGAAAAAAAAACATAACCAAGACAGATTAGTTTAGTTACTTCACTACAGAAAATTAAAATCTCTTGTCTACATCATTAAATATAGAAAAATGAATGTTCTCGAGATTTGACCATCCTATCTTGTTTAAACGCCTTCCAATATTTGCAGAAACCTTTACAGATGCTGTTCTCTGGATTTGCTCCAACTTATACAACTGACTTCAAGCTTCAATAATATAGTAATTTCTACCTTCAAGCTTCTGACCGAGAATTTTATTTTTAGCACAGCTCTAGCATTTCAGATCTGTAACCCTGTGATTTGGGAAACTGTTGGAGAAACGGCTAAATATATTTTATAATTTGAACAATGTATATGGCATGACAGTGCAGTACAGGAAGCCAAAAGGATTAAAACTAAAGACATTGCTTCAGCAACCAGAAATGGAATTCGAATAGTTGCCCATTGCCAAAAAAGTACTTCTGAATTCCACAACCAGCAATAGCTCATTAGAAAAGCTTTCTGCTACTCTTAACATATGCAACAGTTTTAGAAATAATTTGTAAACTTTTTATAAGTTAAAATATTCAAATCTTTACATCCCCAGATTTGTGCACAATATGCAGAACCGCAACACCTCATATGCTTACATCTGCCTTTGCCAACCCGGTGCAGTCCAGATGTGTCACAAAACAAGTTTAGCAAACAATACTAAGAAAATGACACTGTTAAATGATTTAACATTGTGTACTAAAGTTTTAACTTCAATGTGAGTTATGGTAGAGGTGTACAGAATTATGCACGGTGTGGAGAGGAACACATTTTTCCTCCCTTTCCCCAAATTACTAGAACTGGAGTCATTCCATGAAGTGATTAGTGGGGAATTCTGGACAGATAGAAGGAGACATTTCTTCACACTTAAACACTATGGAATTCACTGATCAAGAATTAGCGGTAGCCATCAATTTGGAGAGCTCTAAAAAGGAATTAGACAAATTCATTGTAAAGTCTGTCCATGGCTACCAGCCCTGATGACTACATCTAGTATCAGGGGTAGTGTGTACAGCGGTTACTGGGGAACCTGGGCAGGACGGAGCTGCTGCATTCATAACCTACTTGAGGAATCCTCTGGGCAGCCCTTGTGGGAACAGAATGCTGGCCTAGGTTCTCCCTTATTCTGAGCCGGGATGACTCTTCTTATGCAAAAGTCAAATTAAAATGCTCCATTTTCTAATACAGAGAATGAGCTGGGCCAAATACACGAATGATCGCCGCCGAAGTTCTCTTCAGTGCGGATCTTAAGCAAGAAGGGACGGCCCACGTCACTTAGGCCTAATGCCGGCTTCCCCCTCCCCCACACCACCCTATCGCACACCATCATGGGACACGCAGTCCATTTCCAACCAGCCGTCGCCGAGAAAGCCACTAGAGGGAACTACAGAAACCAGAATACGTCGCGGCAGGGGCGCATGCGTGCGAGCCCCCTCACCTGATGTTCCGCGCGGGTTACCCCCTCCTCGCCGCTTAGACTTGGGCATGGCGGCGGCCTGTAGCGGCAATAGCTCCGCGCGGTTCCTTCTGGCGCTCTCGCACCGGGGGTCTTGGTCTCCGGCCTGGCTTCTTCCCTTTCGCCCGGGCGACAGTGACAATCAGCCGATAGAAGAGCAGGAGCGCTTTTTACTATAGAAACGTCTCTGTGAGGCCGGCTTCCCGGACCGAGGCAGCGGATGTGATTGAGGAAAGCAGGTGATAGGCAAAGCTGTAGCAGCGGTAGAAATCCCCGTGGATGCCCGTGAACGAAGTCGATACATGTTTCTCCTCTCAGACGCCAGGAACTAAAGGCGGGGGGCTGCCGCTGCCGCTACCTTTATAGAGAGCCTTGGCTGAGGCGGGGACAGGCACGTTCGGGGGTGTGGCTTTAAGATAGCCAATCGCTTCTGGAGCTCGAGTGACGTCGGAACCAGCCGTCATGCACTGGCCTCAGGAGCATGTAGTTTTTATGGCTCGTTCAGCGAGTTCCGTTGCCGCTTACAAGAGCGCCGCCTTACAAAGTTCTCCATATTTTTTCCGTAAGGAATGTTTCCAAGCAGTGTTGCCTGGTGGGAGTTGTAGTCTGTGGCTTTCCAGGAGCCATTACGGTACGGGAAGCTTTCACGTCTGCTGCGTTGTCCTTACATGACCTGTTGGGAGTCGACTGTTCCAGCTCAGCAGAAGCAGAGGCGAAGGTTATTAGTTTAATAGGCTTCAGTGACTCCTAGAGGGGCTAATGCTGGAGTTGTGGGAAGGATAGGAAGGGTGTTAACATATCCTCGCATTCCAGGTTTGGAATCAGGGTTTGTCCCCACAACTCGTTGTTGAGACTCCTTAAGTGTATTATTTTTTTCCCCAGTATTTGAATTTCGACTGTGAAAACTTAAGCATACTTACTCAGATGCACATCCCACTGAATTCAACAAGACATTGTTGTGTTATTTAGAACTGCATCTTTCATTCAAGGCTGGCTAAATGAATCACAAGTCGGAATTGAGATTGCTGGGAGAAATATCAACAACCTCAGATATGCAGATGATACCACTTTAATGGCAGAAAGTGAAGAGGAACTAAAGAGACTCTTGATGCGGGTGAAAGAGTAGTGCAAAAGTTGGCTTGAAACTTAACATTTAGAAAACTAAGATCATGGCATCCAGTCCTATCACCTCCTGGCAAATAGATGGGGAAGAAATGGACGTAGTGACAGATTTTATTTTCTTGGGCTCCAAGATCACTGCAGATGGTGACTGCAGCCAAGAAAGTAAAAGACGCTTGCTCCTTGGGAGGAAAGCTGTGGCAGATCTACACAGCATACAACAAAGCAGAGACATCACCCTGCCAACAAAAGTTCATATACTCAAAGCTATGGTTTTCCCAGTTGTAATGTATGGCTGTGAGAGTTGGACCGTAAGGAAATCTGAGCACCAAGAAATTATTACCTTTAAACTGTGGTGCTGGAGAAGAGTCCTGAGAGTCCTTTGGACTGCAAAGAAATCAAACCAGTCAATCTTAAAGGACATCAACCCTGATTGTTCTTTAGAAAGTCAGATACTGAAGATGAAACTCAAATACTTTGACCAAAAGAAGAAAGGACTCATTGGAGAAGAACCTAATGTTGGGAACAATTGAAAGCAAAAGGAGAAGGGGACAGCAGAGGTTTAGATGACTAGATGGGGTCACTGGGGTGGTGGGTGTGGGTGGTCTACAGAGGATGATGAGACTACAGAGAATAGGAGAGCCTACAGGAATGTTGGCCATGGGGTTGTGAAGGGTCAGGCATGACTTGGTGACTAACAACAACAAAAAACCTTAATTCAAGTAAAGTACCACACAGGTGCTTCCTAGGCTGGGCTAAATACATATCTGCATCCGTCTTGTTTGAGTGGTCTTGTGGATCAGGCCAAGGATCCATCGAGTCTAGTGGTCTGCTTGCTATAGTCCAGTGGTGGCCAGACTTGCTCAATGGAAGAGCCTTATGTGGTAAATAGATTTTGATAGGAAAAGAAATCCCTACAATGGCTGCAGAATGCTAGGAACTGTAGGACATTTTTTTACTGAACATGTGTAAGACTGTGCCTTTAAACATAAAAATTTGCATCACTAGCATCTCTACAGCCATTGCCACCATTTCCCTGCCATGCTTTCAAGCAGGCCTACAAATACCCTAGGCATTTAACGGTTGCCAACATATTAGGACAGTGGCTGGCATGGCTCATCCCACTAAACACATGTTTGGAAGAAGACCCATGCATATTTAGACAGAAGAAAGCCATAGCACTCTCAGTGTGTCCCAGTATGTTGCTGTTCTATCTAAACAGGTATAGGATTGTGCCTTTGACAGCCATGCACAATAGGCTGTGCTAAAGGAGGACTGGATGTGAAGGATCTCTTCAACTCCTTCCAACCTTAGAAAGGTTATACTAGGCTATAATATGCTAGCTAAACTTGTGAAATCCTAGAAGAACACCACATTACAAATACCATCATGTATGACCACCTGTGTTATTATTTATTACCCAGCTGTTTCCTAGTCAAACTTTTACTGGAATATTCTGTACAAAGTCCCTCAAGGGTATATAAAAACTACACATCATATGCCCTCAGGTGAGCTGCTGCGCATTTTGCTTGTCCTCACAGCTGCCCACACAGATGGTCTTGCAGCCTCTGCATGTACGTAGAGATTTTTTGATTAAGAGAAGTGGGGAGAAGAAAAAGGGAAGCAATGAATCCTGCAGCAGGACCCTTTGTTCCCACTCAGAATTTAAGTGGCCTTTAAAAACATTTATTTCAGCCAATAAGCTACAATAAATAGAACCAAGGAGGTCCATTGGTCCTTACAGTCCACCCTGACCAGTCTACACGAGAAACTCAAAGGTCTGGATAGGCTGCACAGTAGTAAGTAATGGCAGTGGAGTTAGCCCTCAGAGTCCTCATGGCGGGCCTACAGACAAAGTGCAGGTACTGCTCAAATGCAGCACACTCCACTTCAGCCACAGCTCCATGTTGTGTAGGGACAAGTGCTCCAGGTTGATAGCAGCATCTTCTCAGCAGCAAGGTGGTTGCTGTTGCCGCATGAGGTCCTGTGAAGGCAGGGACATGACATGGGTGCAAAGCAGCTGAGAAGCATCCTCAGAAGAACCTGACTGCCACAGGAGTGGTGCTGCTATTGCTGTGGCCAACAGCAGGGGCACCACTGCAGGGATACTCGGCCCCAAGAGGCCTCAGATAGCTGTGGGTCCCATCAGGGAGCAGTGGGGAAATGGCAGGCTCCACACAGGTGCTGCTCAGGGATTTGGTCTCTGAAGTGGGCAGGCTGTAGCTTCCTAAATGCACACCATGCCATGTACATGGTGCATAGTGGGAATGGAATCCTGGTGGTGGTGGCAGTGACAATCTTTGTGGCCCCACAAGCCACAAAATAAACTCAATGAGCTGTATGCAGCTTATGATCCTCCATTTGGCCACCACTGCTATAGTCTCTAGCTAGATCCCTCAGAGTAGTCAATGGTGAAATCAAATCATCATAATAATGTAATATATGTCTTGCCTTTCTTCCTCACACAAGAAACCCAAGGTAGCTTATGAGGTTCTCCTCTCCATTTTATCTTTTTATCTGTGTGGTAGGTTAGGTTGAGAGTGAGTGACTGGCCCAAAATCACCCAGTGAGCTTCATGGCTGGATGGGGACTAGAACACTAATCTCCCAAGACCCAAACACCGCAAGACATGAATTTTATTTATTTATTTTTCGATTTATATCCTGCCTTTTTCCTCAAATGGCTCAAGGATTGGGGTATAACAATGACATGTCCTTCCTTGTTTGTCCCCCAAGAATAACTAATCAGAAGCAACCAGCTCTGAGTGAAGAGGTTTTTAAAGCAAATAGTTCTTTATATTTATACCTATGGGTGTGAAAGCTGGACAGTGAAGAAAACTGACAAGAAGAAAATTGATGTGTTCAAAATATGGTGCTCAAGGAGATCTTTGAGAATACCCTGGACCAACAAAAAGGCAAACAAGTGAGTCTAGATCAAATCAAGTCAGAGCTTTCCTTAGAAACAAAATGGACAAAACTCAAGCTTTCATACCATGGACATATCATCAGAAAGCAAGGCTCACTGGAGAAAACAATCACTTTAGGAAAAGCCTAAGGCAGAAGATGAAAGGGAAGACCAAATATGAGATGGATTGATTCCATAAAGGAAGCCACAGCCTTGAACTTGGAAGAGCTGGCAAGAGATGTCATGGTCTGGACATTTTGGAGGGATTTCATTCATAGGGTTGCCATGATTCAGAGACAACCTGGTAGCACATAATACAGAAACATTTGTTTAAATTTTGCTTTTCATACAATTATTGACTCCCAAAGGAGCTTGCAGTAAGCAAAAGAAAGAGATAGGCCCTGACATCAGGCTTACACACTCATCAGGCTTACACAAGTGTACACAAAAGCGGAGAGGGTCTTATTTCACCCTTCCCTGCGTGAAAGAATACCTGTGAGAACTTTGAAACTAAAAACCAGTGCCTGAATTTATTTTTTTCCCCTTGTCCCTCCCAATCCCCTTTTCTTTTCATGTCAGGTCTTTTAAATTGCAAACCTGAGAGCAGGCACTGTTTGCATGCCAATATTTATAAACTGCTTTGGAAGGCTTTTTCACTGAAAAATGGAATAAAAATGGAGTGGAATAAAATTGCTGTAAATAAATAAGACAGGCACACAATTGAAGGTCAAAGAAGTGGAAGAAAATCAGAGGGGAAGGAACCAGTTTTTTAAGGCATTTAAATGTACATCGGACTGAAATGAAAGTCCCTTGCTGGTGCTCTTGAATAGCAATTGGTAGCCACCAATTGCTTTAGCTAATGGCTGGGGTCAGAGTCCCCTTACTTCACCCCTTAATGCCAACTAAGCCAGTGGCTATAACTTCAGTTTGGCTGAACACAGTGGTCTCTATGCCCATGGTGTTTCCTACATCTATGTACAGTACCACTATAGATTAATCATTTTACACTGATATGCACCTTCTTTTTAGGGACATTTGTCCAATTTTCCAATTGTCTCATAAATTACAAAGCATTTCACATTCACTTGTAAACAGTCACTGAATTCCATCAAATAAAGTTTCCTCTCTCCAAGTTCACAGCATTGTGTACAATCTCTGCCTCCATTCCTCAGTGGTTGGCAGGTTTGTTAAACCAAAAAGCCTTACTATTTTGAACTTTCTTAGTAGGGAAGTTGCTCCAACATCCTGGCAGCTAGGTTGAATCTAGGCTGTGACTTTAAAAATCCTATTTACTTATTTTCTATACTG